ATGCCTCTTGATTCATAGACTAGTCCGAATGAGCACAGTGGAGTACTCTGTAATTCCCATTTTTTAAAAGATTATCCACTCTGTAATTCCCATTTTTTAAAAGGTTATCCAGAATTTGTTATGATCGACATAGTTGATTGCCTTTACAGAATTAATAAAATACAAGTAAATATCTTTCTGGTATTCTTCGTTTTCAGCCAAGAGCCTTCTGACTTTAGAAATTATGTCTTTTGTTCCATGTCCTTTTCTGAGTCTGGCCTGTAGCACTGGCAGCTCCCTGTCAATGTACTGCTGCAGCTGTTGTTTGATGAGCTTCATCACAATTTTACGTGCATGTGATATTGATATCTATTGTTCTCTAATCTGAGCATGTTGTTGGATCAGGTTTCTCTTTGGAATGGGTACAAATATGGATCTCTTCCAATCATTCGACCAGTAGCTCTCTTTCAACTTTCTTGGCATAGATGAGTTCAGTGTTATCAGTGCTCCATGAGCTTGTTGAAATGTTTCCATTGGTATTCCATCAGTTCCTGGAGCCTTGTTTTTGGCCAACACTTTCAGTGCAGCTTGGACTTCTTCCTTTAGTACCATCGGTTTTTGCTCATATGCTACTTCTTGAGATGGTTGAATGCTGACTAGTTCTTTGACTGTATTCTTTCCATCTTCTTTGGATGTTTCCTGCATCATTTAATATTTTGCTCATATAATCTTCAATGTTGCAACTTGAGGCTTGAATTTTTGAGTTATTTTAGTTTAAGATATGCTGAACGTGATTTTCCTTTTTTGGTTTTCCAAGTCTAAAACCTTTGCAAATTTTGTTATAATATTTTAAATATTATATATTTATAAATATTATAAAATTTCCATCTAGCTCCCTGACTTCATCATTTCTTTCATTTGCCTTAACGACTCTATGATTAAGAACAAGTTTCAGAGTCTCTTCTGACATCCATTTTGATTTTTTCATTCTATCCTGACTTTTGCTGTCTTCATGTGTGATGTTCTTCACGTCACATGTTCTTCACAGCTCATGATGTCTTCTGTTATTAGGGTTTAATGCATCAAGTATGTCCTTGAGATGTTCCTGAACCTTGGCTGAATATCCTCGAGGTCTTATTTTGGGGCTTGTGGGTTTGTTTGAATTTTCTTCAGCTTCAACCCGAACCGATGGTCTGTTTCACAATTGGCCTCTAGCCTGGTTTTAGCTGATGATACTGAGCTTCTCCACTGTCTCTTCCCACAGATGTAGTAAATTTATTTCTATGTATTCCATTTGGAGAAGTCCACGTGAATATTCACCTTTTGTGTTGTTACAAAGGTATTTGCTATGAACTAGTTGTTGGTCTTGCAAAATTCTATTGTATGATCTTCAGCTTCATTTCTACCACTGTGACCATATTTTCCAACTACTGTTCCCTCCTGTTTCCAACTTTTACATTCTAATTGACAATAATTATCAATGCATCTTGATTGCATGTTTGTTCAGCTTCAGAAAGAAGATGACAGAACTCTTCAATTTCTGCCACACTGTCTTTAGTGGTTGTGTATACATTTGCATAATAGTTGTATTGATTGGACCTCCTTGTGTTTGGACAGACATTATTTTGTTGCATACAGCAGTTTTCTTCAATATAGGTCTTGAAAACTGCTTTTAGACAATGAATGCAACAGCGTTCCTCTTGATTGAGTCATTCCAGGCATTGTGAAACTGTATAATTTTCTCATTCAAAATAGCCATAGCTGCCCATTTCTGTTCACTGATGCCCAGGATATGTATATGTGTTCCATTTCATTTTTAGCGACTTCCAATTTTCCTAAGTTAATATTTTGTATATTCCATATTCCAATTATTATTTGATATTTTAATTTGTGCCCCATCAGAAGATGAAGGTCCTGAAGGCTTTACTCCATCTAAGTCATTATTGTTGTCTACTTTGAGAGAACAGCTCTTTCTCAGCCATATCTTGAGTGTCTTCTGACCCAAGGGTCTCATCTTCTGGCAAATCTCTGAAAATGTTCTGCTTCTATTTATTAGGGTTTCAGTAACAGACAATGTTTCAATACTATCCATAGAGTTTTCAGTGGCTAGTTTCTCTGAAGTGGACATCCTATTCCTTGTCCATAGTCTGTTCTTAATTAAGAAGCTCTACCGAAACTTGTTCACTTTGTGTGACCCCCCTGGTATTTGAAATACCAGTGGCATAGTCTTTAGCATCACAGCAATACACCAACCACCGGTACATTATCCATCATTTGTTAGAGAGGTATGAAAACAGATGATAAAATTACTTCTCCTTTTTACAGGCTATCACTTATTTTTACCTTTATATTTATATCATTGCTTTGTTATTGTATGTTGTTATGAAAATATCCCAGTTATCTTACTGCTTTGATTCATTGATTAAAAAATATCTAGTATTGGGTGCATGGTCTCTCTCTATGGAATACAATGGCAGCACCTTCAGATTAACTTATTGTTGTCACTAAGTTAATGCAGAAGAGGACACTCGAAGGGGCAGTTCTCTGCAGTGAAAGGGAAGTTATGAATTCAAGAGTTAACCTCAGTTACCGTTGTTAAATACTTCAATTTCTCATCGCTGACTTTTTATTTTTCATGTTTCATTTTGAAAGACACCTTGGACTTTGTAAATATTGTTTGAAAAATTTAATTTAGGTACCGTGATTCTCTTTCTCCTAAGGCCCTACCAAATCAGAAATAGATTCTGCTGGGAAACTATTCCTTTTCCTTCTAGAAGGTGCATTGTCAAAAGTGATGCTCACCTCTCAGTTCCTCTGCTGTGATATGTTAGCAAGTTGTTTGACATCTCTGAGCTTATGTTTTGTCCTATGTAAATGGCACGAAACTCACAATGGGTTTGAGGACCAAATCAGATCTAGATAAACTTCTTTAGCATAGCACATGGCACATGATAAATTCTCAATCATGGCAAACTGCTCTCAATAAGGGAGATGGAACTGTCAAACAAACTAAGGGGGTAACTATCTCAGTCTGAGCAGTTTGCTTCTGATTTAGGCTATCTGAATAGATCTAGGCTATGCCAGTAAATTATGAAAAGCTTTTTGCAAACTATTTTAGGGATGTTAAATTACTCCTTGCTATCGAGTCCATTCCAACTCTGTGTCATCCTATACAACAGAGGAGAGTTGCTCCGTGGAGTTGCTGATACTGTACATCTTTATGGAGCAGACAGTCTCATCCTTCTCCCCCAGAGCAACTGGGAGTTTGAATCACCTACCTGTGGTTAACAGCTCAAAGCTTAACCCACTGCACCAATATGCCTTTCTGGGCAGAGTAAACACCATGAAAGATTGCCTGAAGAATTACATTTCAGGGCTCTATTACAGTAGGTAGTCAGATAACTCTCCTTTTCCTAGTGAAATGTAGAGAAAAGGTTAGGATGGGTCGTAAGCAGTATGATGCTTTAAAAATGTGCTTTGAATGTTTGGGAGAGAATCTTGGACCCCTCATTTCTAAGGGCACCTGGCTGTTCACCATTTTATTCCTTTTGCCATTTTACTAGGAGAACAGGCTGCACCCTAGCTACCCTAATTGCTACAATTAGGAAAATTAAATGGCTCACTGTGTTTTTATACAATTACACCCACGTTCCACAGAATTTTACTTCAGAATAAGGAATTATACTGCTGAGGCTGTTAATCATAGACACAGCTCGAGCCTTCCCATGTGCCATTTTTAGAGTGGCGAGTGCATAGGGCATATGTGGATTGAGCAAGCTGGGAGTTCCCCCATAGCCAAGCCCTGTTCCTACAAACTCAGTGTAGAGATCAGAAGCAACACTTGGGTTGAAATAGGCGGTCTGAAATAGGTTGGGATAAAAGTCAGGAGTTGAGGCAGGGGCCGGTAACGGGTGGAGTGGCCCAGGCTAGCCATTTTGAAACGCTTGCGTTGCTGGAGGAGGAAATGACAGGAGGGAGGAGCAATCGGTCTGTTGGATTTTCAACAGGACTTTGAATTGCTGCAGAGAATTGCGCCTGAGCTGATTTGCGTCTGCTATGGGAATTCCAGAAATGCAGCTCCAGAAATGGTTTTCACCCATGCATCTCACTCAGCAGCCCTGGGTGCTGAGACAGTCTACGGTATTTATTTATTTTTGAAAAAGCTTAAAGGATTTCTCCTGTGAAATAGACAAATGCAGGCATCTTGTCCAAGCTTCATTTAGAACCAGTAATGGTTAATAGTAAATGTGTGTGGAGAACACAGGGGATTAGATATTTCCTCTAGAAAATGCTCCACAAGTTAAAAAAAAATACCTCCATTCTTGCCTAACATCGTGTCAGAATGCTTCCACTCAGTGGATCTGGAACCTTTAAAAGCAATTGTGTGACTTCACACATTCCTGGGTAAGGTGCCAGAAATTTTTCTTTGCTCAATTCAATCTGTTCAGCAAAAGAAACGTTGAAATGACTCAAAACTATGCTACTCAGCTGTTTAACAAATGAGATCATTAAGGAATGATAAAGTTCATTCAAGCAAATCTACCAAACCCATTGCTGAGGATTCTGACTCTTAGTGACCCTGCAGGGTAGAGCTGAATGACCCCAGAAGGGTCCCGAGGCTGTAATCCACATGACAGTGGCCTGTCACACCTTTCTCTGGTGGAGTAGCTGGTAGGTTTGAACCACCAGCCTTTCGGGTTGCAGGTAAGCTCGCAACCTCTGAGCTACCAGGGATTCTTATTCAAACAAAGAAGACCCAAATATCTGAGCCTTTCCAACTCAAATTTCCAAAGAATTTATGTTTTAGAGACAGGAAATGTAAACTGGAATGTAGTTGAAATGGAGTAAGAAAAAGCTTATAATGTAATATTTTATTTGTCAGTAATATAGTGATATATCAAATAAAGAGCAGTCTTATATTTTTATGCCTTCGGCTTCTGTTATTTTAGTTGGAAAGTCTGATTAGATATTTATATGTACATACATACAGCTTTTAAAATAAAGAGTCATTGAGATTTCAATTATTCCCATATAATTTTAATTAATTAGTGCTATCACTTCATTTATTCATAGAACAAAATGAACTGGGCATTTTGAAATATCTGGCAAACAAGTTATACTCATTACAGGTGGTACCTATAGAACATGACCATTTTAAGCAGAAATACTTTCATTATGCTTTTTGTATTCGGGTATACAAGATATCTTTTTATTCATACTGGAATTACATATTGTTTGCCATACCATTTAAGATCACCATTCTAATTTTGTAGATTGACAGAATCATCATAAATGAATAATAACGGAGGATCCAGATAGTACATAATTAAGTTGGAGTAGGGGTGGAGCTGGGAAACACATCCACTTCCATTGAGTTGATTCCAATTCAAAGTGACCCTATACGACAGATTGAAATGGCCCCTGTGGGTTTCTGAGGCTGCAAATCTTTACAGGGAGCAGAACCCCATCTTTATTGAGGCGTGACTGGTGGTCTGAACTGTAGCTCTGTAGTTAGCTGCCCAAGGCGTTGCCCACCAAGCCACCAGGCCATAAGTAAGTAGGGTCACGCAAACAATAGCAGATTTAGAGGGCAAAGTCTTTTGCCCGTGAGGAGGGGGATGGGGAGGAGAGACTTAGACTGCCATGAAGATTTTTTTCTTCCATACAAGAAATACTTATATCTAAAATAAGAGGACTTCAAAAAGTTCATAGAAAACTAAAAGGAGAATGGATTTTTCTCACAAACTTTTTGACCCTCTTTGTATATACATAGTCTTATAGATAATCTTTAAATATGGTTTCATTTGGAAATGTCAGGCTGACCATAAAAAGAAAAAAACTTGTTTTTCCCTTTAGAAATTTTCATGGTCCTATGCAAAAATTAAGTCCTATCAGGCTGATTCCTCTAATAAAAGATTCAAAGTGGGTTTAAGCATAGAAAATCTGAGTCCACAATAGAGAAAACATGGTTTCTAATTTGTATGCTAAACATAGCTCATCTCTTCTGGATTCTTCAGTTACACTCTATGGAGGGGTTAATGGCAGGTTGAAAATGAAACCTTAAGAATTAAAATATAAATTAAAAAATTAAATTTTGTCTCTTTGTCCATTGACAATCTGTCTTTAAACTCTGATACTTTAACCTCTCTGTTATCTATGTATCTAGAAACTACTAAAAGTTGTTATCTCCACAATGGTAGCGTAGTACATTCTGAGTCCTACAGGATTTAATCATGATATTTTTCTCTTTTAAAATCTGTCTTTTGTGATATGAGTGAACGTTTACAGGGCAAATTTGTTTTCCATTCAATAATACACGCATATTTTGTTCATCATTTTTCTTAACTAAAGATCTTGTTTTCAAACTTTTGAAAGTTCGTGTTTTACGATATGGAGATGTCATTTTCTTACCAAGAACTTTGGACTAAAACATTGTATCCTTCAAGTATGCTTGATAACAGAGCATTTAGAGTACTGGGGAAGTTGCTAAAACATTCTGACACCTTCCTGACAACATAGTGTCTGTTTTGACTTTTAATATGACAAGTAGAGAAATAAGGTAGAACTTACATGATTGGAGAGACTGGCTTGTTGGCTCTTGTGTTGATAGACACATCTACTGTTCTCTGTTATCTACTCATGGTATCAAAGGAAGAGTTCCACTGGACAATTGAATTTCCAAAGATCATCACATAAAAGCTTTCTTGGAAATAATGAAGCTAGGTAGTGTGGCTCTGCACGAGAATAAAGAATTTGCCAAAATACTGCTGTTTTTTCCTTCTAAAACGGGAGTGGAATGCTTTCACCAGGTACTGAAAAGAAGGGCGTCTTCTTGGGGTTTTACTGGTGGTTACTTCTTTTTCCCATACACCATCAAAATATTATTTTTGAGTGGAAGTCTTGCTTGGCGGATCAAGTTATGGAGTACTATGAAAGTACATCTGCTGATCAAAAATTGTTAATTAGAAAAAACTGCTCCAAGAATTTGTACCAAAAGAAGTCTTAAAAGTTGAGCACTCTCTTCCTTTTTTGCAAATATCAACACGGGGCAGTTTCTGCGTTATGCACCAATTACAGTTGGTGGCGACAGTACTTGACAATATGGAATGAATGAATCAGTCCAAATAACTGAATGAATAAATTAAATTGATTCTCCCCCCACCCCACTATCTTTTTGGTGTTGTGACTAACATTTGATTAACCACTTGTGTCAAAAAAAAAACCAGGGAAGGCAGTTTAAGACATCTTTCACTGTGGTCAGGCTGGTAATGATGGACAGATGGGAGTAAGCGTGTGCATCTTTGATTTCCTGGGAAACATTGGCCAGTCTCAACAAGCCCTTTCTAGATAATCAGATTCTCTCTTCACCTGATATTCTGATAGCACCCCTGGCCAGGTTCCTGGGGGCACCAACATGGCAAAGTCAAGTGATCTTGCAAGAGACAAGTGCCTTTAATCTGAAGAGGCAAGCAGATGGATGCATGTACCAGCCTAAGATATACCAAGTAATTATGATGCTGAACGTATGATGCTGAAACAATTCCAGGTCTATAAAAAAAGTGATGATACCTATATGTATACCCTATATTTTTTATTACAAAAATATTGAAATAATCCATGAGTTATTCCACTCTGCACCAACTATAAAAAAATACTATCAAAGTTTGACCGGCACTTTTAATGCAACAAAAAGCACCATGACAGGAGAACACAGAACAGAAAGCAGGGTGACGTTCACTTGCTGTACGGAGGTATTTGAGACCCAGAAGCTTGTAAGAGTGCAGCTTTACAAATAATTCAAATACGTACAAATTTGAGCTAGATACAGTTTAGAAGAGTGTTCTCATAGTACATTTCACTGCATTTGACCGCTCACACTTACTAATATGTGTACCAAAGCCTCTAAAAGATACATCAGGTTGACCTTCGATGAGGAACAACATCTGTCCAGAGCATAGAATTTGATTGCTCTTTCTTTTGCCTGCTTCTGTGGAACTCAGTCCTTCAGGGTCCCGTGTCTAACTTGAGGTGCTCAGTGTTTGGCACTAGAGAGTTATGGCAATGTAATGCTTTCTTATGCTGCCTGCCTATATTCCCGGAGTTGGGCATCTGCTGTCCCAAACTGGATCCTGCTCCAGATTGTTGCACTATGCCACTGTTACCTGTCGTGCCAGTGGCAGCCACCCCAGCACAGAATGAGACTTCCCTCCTGCCCTTTTCCCCACTTCCTCTCTATTTTTTCTTAAAATTTTGCAACTGAATACTGAATCATGATTATCATTTCATTTACATCACTAAGTTGGCAAGCTCCTTGGTCTAACTGAGAGCCATAAACGTGCTGCATAGGATTTCTGTCATAAAGGATGTTCCCAGCTGAAAATGTAAAATAAAATATAAATAAATCCTGAAATGTATAGAAAATAAATTCAAATTCCATTAATTTGAATGCATGTGTAAGCACACTTGAATTGCTGTCCATTGGGGACACTTTCCACGCATGGAATGTTTCCAAATGAGAAAATGTGTTATGGTTTGCTTTCTCTTCAGTACTCTTTTTTCTTCTCTGCAGTCTTGAGAGATTATATTCACTCAGTCTCTCTTTTTTATTTCTCTCTCTGTGTGTGTGTGTGTGTGTGTGTGTGCTCGAGTTTTGCATCAAGGAAAAGCACTTGGGCTATTTTGACAAAGGACTGGTATTTTGTGTGTGTACGTGTATGACTGAATCTGTATTTTATGTAAAGATCCATTTACTCCATCAAAAAACACCTTATGGATTTGCGGGATGTTCTCCATGATGAAAGGACCCTCTGGTAGATGCACTGAAAGACTGTGTAAGAGAAGTTTGGTAGCATCAGAGATTCCTATGCTGGGTTGTTTCCTCAGGTGGAGTCGCTGATGCTCTACAGCTGTGGTTTGCGCAGGAGACCAGCAGCAGCCAGTCAGCCACAATGTCTCATAGCACAGTCACCATGTCAGCTCGATGGAGACGCTCACAGCTGGCTGCCCTATTCTACAATGAAGTCTCCTATTGCCACAGCCCGCTGTCAATCCTTCACTGGACTTGGTGGCTCCTGAAAGTTCTTCTGCTCTATAAAGTAGTTTCGTACTCCAATCGTTCCTGAATAAGGGCATCATCTTTGTACTGCAACCTTGGAGGAGATGGGGAACATTCGAAAGCTAAGATGGCCTTTCGTAGACTTCGGTCCAAAACATGCCTCTCCCATGCTGGGTACCTATTCCTGAACAGGTCGATTTTAATGACGGATTCTTCAATCCTTGGGGGACGAGATGATGGTGTAGATGGGGCAGTTGGCCTCACCTGAAAGATGGGTGCACACCCATCCCTTTCTGTGAATTTCTGCTCACGGTCACTAGACACACTGCGGTTGTTGGAGATGGACCGTAGAGTGCTTGTGGCCACTTCTGAAGGCAGAGTGAAGGCAGCTACTGGGTCCTCACAAGCACAGCTTGGTGACTGCCCAAATCTGGGTCCATTGGGGTGAAAGAAGGCATAATACATCAGCATAAAAACAACACCAGTTAAAAAGCTACTGAACACCACACACAGCGCAGGGATGGCAAATGCATCTGCAATCTGAGGAGCCTTGTATAGGTACCAGAGGGCACTCAAGGCTGTGTTTTCCAGAAGGATCACAAAATAGTAAATGAAGAGCCTGCAGCGTGTCCGACCTTCCTTGACATTGAACCAACTGAAGATGTAGATGATCCCTACCACCATGTCGAACACAATCTCTTCCCATTTGGTGATACAGAATTCCGTCTCACAGTGGACGATCCAGAAGGTCATGATGCACCAGTGCAGGACGATGAAGATCCCAAAGTATAACTGGAACACCGAGGCGAACAGAGCGAATGTGATGACTCTGGCTGCGATGGTGAAGAAGTGCCAGCAGAACTGGATGATGACCGCCATGTAGCTGATGGGCTTCTTGTCATCCCGAGAGTCCCGGAGGGCCTTCTGGTAAGATGCCAAGGCCCAAGCTAAAGACACAAGGGAGGCTGCCGCTGTGAAACCTATAAAGATAAACAGGGAGAAAATCTGTCAAAAGTCAGATGTAGTGGTGCCCCTAGAAAGCACGTCAGGTGGAGCTGGAGGCTTGGGACCGGCTTTGCTCGCAGGGATGACTGCTACTGTTTTGGAGTTATTCCTGAATAAAATACTCAAATGGGGATATTTGCTCGCAGGGATGACTGCTACTGTTTTGGAGTTATTCCTGAATAAAATACTCAAATGGGGATATTAATATCTGTTCTCTGTGGTCCCAACCTGACAGGTCATGACGTTAAAGCAAATGTCACTTGGAACCCGGGTGGGATTGAGAGAGATGGGTGGGGCATTACCTCTGCGTATTTAGTGTGAATAAACAAGTAGGCGGGTTGTGTCATAGGGAAAAACCAGCAGACTGGGTTTTGGAACAGAGTTATTGTGCTACCTTTGTTACTTATTAAATGCATGATTATAGATAATCATTTAAATTGTCATTTATTAAGTAGGCAATTTCCAAGCTTCCCTGCTCTCAGATTTTGTGATCAAAAGGTGTATATAACCACAGGTACCTTAAAGGGCTAACTAGTCTACCTGTCTACTTTTAAGCAAGAATAAATTTAATTTATTCACACGCAAAAAGGAGTAGTATAGGCTTGCAATGTTTATTGTTTCTTGGTGTGTGGTTTGTCCTAGTGTCACACAATACCTATAGCTGATGCCTGTCCCTTAGGTTTCCTTACTGCCGGTCCAATACGGGAAAAGTGTACTTACTGCCAGCTACCTTGCCCTTTCTTAAAGGAACAGCAGTACCGGCACCACTTCTCAGCCACCCCTTCTTTGTATCACATTAACCCCATTGGTGAGAATTTCTTCTAAAACTATGATCCCAAATAAAAATATAAATTTTATTGCTCTCCTTCACTCTTTGCATCTCAAATATGGTCTCCCTGGACCAGATGTCCAAGCTCACCTAATAACACAGGGGATCTACTTTAGGAGAGAGCCTGTGTGGACTCCACTTTGTCATCGAGGTTTAGTGTCCATCTGCATTCCAGTTGCTTCCTTAAGGGGGCGCCCGAGACTTACCAATGAGGAGCATGCTCTCCTGTGTTTTGGTCCAGCTCTACTCTAATCCTAACTAGGAAATATTCTAGTCTCCCCTCTTGCTTTGTAAATAAAATAAGCTGTGATACTGTCAAGCGCTTATGATGGAATTGGCGCTTTTCTTTTATAGTTTGATATAGAAAAGTGATCATTTATAATACTTAGAAAATTAATTTAGGCAAAGAAAGACTCTAGAGGGAAAAGGAAAAATTAATTGATACAAAACACGATAAATTCCAAGGGTCACTTGTTATACAACCACCTCGAGGAGAGTGACATTTAAAAAACGATTATTATAAAGAAAGCAGTTTTCAACAGCCACTTCTCATAGTGACTCCCATTGACGTCCGCGGGAAGTCAGGACATCTCACATGGATCTTCAGTTTCTGCCCACCAGCACAAAAGTCTGTCACAACCACAAGTCACAGGCAATATTTCTATGTCAGTTAGGGAGCACTAAACAAATAAGCACATCACAATATAATTCCTATGCCGAAGACACCGTTACATCAATTATAAAATAAGTTCAGGAGCTTAATAAGAAGAGAGAAGAACTTTAAAAACAAATAACGGAGAGAGGATGGGAAATAAGGTGCTGGAATCATGCCTATGTGAACAACATTATTATAAGCTTAGGATATAAGAACAAAAGCTTACACCATTTTTATTTCAATACCTTTGTGTAGCATAGAAACCCCTCCTGATCTTGCTCCCTAGATGTCGCATTTGCAAGTGTGGAGATTCTCTTCTGGACTGTTCTTTTTTTCCGCTTTAAAGCTGTAACCAGGCTACCTCTCTTTACAGGAAGACCCCTTCCCCTTTCACTCAACAGGCATCATCTTTAAAAAAAAATCATTTTATTGGGGGCTCATACAACTCTTATCACAATCCATACGTACATAAATTGTATAAAGCACATTTGTACATTCAATATCCTCATCATTCTCAAAACATTTGCTCTCTACTTAAGCCCCTGGCATCAACTCCTCATTTTTCCCCTCCCTGTCTGCTCCTCCCTCCCTCATGGACCCTTGATAATTTATAAATTATTATTTTGTCATATCTTGCACTGTCCAACATCTCCCTTCACCCATTTCTGTTGTCCATTCCCCAGGGAGGACGTTATATGTAGATCCCTTTTGGTTTCCTTTTCCACCCCATCCTCCCTCCACTCTCCCTGTATCGCCACTCTCACCACTGGTCCTGAAGGGATCATCCGCCCTTGATTCCCCATGTTTCCAGTTCCTATCTGTACCAGTGTACATCCTCTGGTCTAGCCAGATTTGTAAGGTAGAATTGGGATCATAATAGTGGAGGGGGAGGGGGGAGGAAGCATTTAGGAACCAGAGGAAAGTTGTATGTTTCATCGTTGCTATACTGCACCCTGACTTGCTTGTCACCTCCCGGCGACCCTTCTGTAAGGGGATGTCCATTTTCCTACAGATGGGTCTTGGGTCCCCAATCTGCACTCCCCCTCATTCACAATGATTTGGGTTTTTGTTCTTTGATGCCTGATATCTGATCCCTTCGACACCTTGTGATCACACAGGCTGGTGAAGAAAGCTGGTGGTGCCCAACTATCAAAAGATATAGCATCTGCGGTCTTGAAGGCTTGAAGGCAAACAAGCGGCCCATTAGCTCAGAAGCAACAAAGCCCACATGGAAGAAGCACACCAACCAGGCATCATCTTTACAGACACCGCTCCTCCAAAAGGCTCTGCATCATTGTCCAGATTGATGAAAAAGAGACAAACACTCCGATGACTTGATCAGATTAGAAGAGGGGCATCAGTTTGGGTAGGAGGATGCTATTTAAAACTGTTTTTCAAAGCAGTGAAAAAATAGTAGACAACTTCAATTACACAGTGCCACAAAGTCATTGCCCACTAATTTTACCCCTTCTCTTGAATGTCCTGTAAGAGTGATTCAGCTTACCTTTAACGCTACAAAAATTTGTTAAGACACTACTCTGGCAGTACAAAATGGGTTTCTTATTTTATTAGTTCTTTCTATATATCTTACAATGAAAAAAATTACCAAAGGAAATTTTATGCCCTTATTAACTTTTAGCTTTTGCAATGATTGGACTATCCTTTGTTCATTTCATTATAGTTTGCTTCTTGTTATCCTTAGCAATTAATTTCTGTAAAGCAAGTATACATGTGAGTTGAAAATATGGGACTATCCTACACTTGCAGGAAGCATGCAGTCCTACTCTCTAACCAAACAATCCCACCTCAGTTATTCTGTATGCCATACCAGAATCTCTAGGGAATGTACCAAGTATTGCTTAAGTATAATTTTCCTGGGCTCCCAAGGCATTGCAGCACAGTTCTATAACACAGAACTCTGAGCATACCTTGGTTTAAAAAAATAATAATTTCAAATGTCTTGAAAAATCGCAAGAACAAAAATATTTCACAAAACATCTTTGTACCTATTGAGTCAGTTTGCCTCACTTTGTATGTTTTTCTTTGGGGTTTGCCTTCTGTTTCCTCATAGGCAGACTCAGGCTAGACTATTATATAAAGTATGTTAAACAATATTTGTCCACATCATTAAAAAATTGAAAATAGGAATTCCTTTACTTGTTTGAGGAATATATAGTGTATTTGTTCATATTTTCTTTCAAAATATTGAATAGCATGCCATTTGTGGAAATTTTAAGCTAAAACCATAAAAACAGCCGTGGGAGATTCAGTGGGATTACACTATTTATTAAAATAGATAATACGATTTCAGCAGTTGATTCATGAAAATATTTAATTTTATGGAAAAGAAACTGATTCTCTCCTGTCAAAACATATAGTAGTATCTGAGGTCTTCAAGGCTTGTAGTCAAACCAGCAGCCATCTAGCAGAGAAGCAACGAAGTCTACATGGAAGAAGCACTTCAGCCTGTGTGATCATGAGATGCCAGTGGGAAAAGGTATCAGAAGTTCAAAACCAAGCAACTAAATTGATGTGTAGTGGAGACCCCCAAACCCACCTGCAAGTTAATCGGACAGTCCCTCTCAGAAGGGCCACATGGAAGGGATGAGAAATTCAGGGTGCAGTATAACGCTGATGAAGCACATAACTATCCTCTAGTGTTTTGTTTTTTAATATTTCGTCCCCTTACTATTACGGATTTTTTTTTTACCTCATTGATTATATTAGACTTGCATATGTTCATTTATATAATTAAGATAATTCTATACATGAAAGCCAAGATAGATAACCCTTCAGAAATGGTAACAGGAGTAATGGTTCCCTCAGTGAATGGGAAGAGAAGAGGGAAAATGGGGGAAGGGGGAGCAGTTGATGGCACTGATGACTGTATAACCCCATTCCTGGGGAGCAAACAACAGAATTGTATGTTAACGAATATATTGGATGGTGTAAAATGTGGCAAAAAATAAATAAAAATAATTGTTTCTGGGGGCATATAGTAGGGGAGGGAGAGTATAAAAGGGAGATGATATCAAGGAGTTCAAGAGGAAAGAAAATGTTCTGAAAATGACTGTGGTAGCAATTGTACACTACTGCTTGATGTGATACAACTATGGAATGTTATGATATCTGTAAGAGCTCCCAATAAAATGATCAAAAGAAACTGAGTGTCTCCTTGAGAGGTTAAATGTTCTATTCTCTCTTCTACCTGCTTTCTTCTTGTCTTAATGAAAACTGACCTCTTTCTACTGTGAAAGTAATCCTCTTGCTTTCTTGGTCATGGATACGATCCACTAACTCTCTTGACCCTCTAAGTAGTCAAGGTCTCCATGTCAAAGCACTCCTTCTGCAGAGCTTACCAACATGTAACTAGTCTTTTCTCCCTAAGAAACACTGCTTCCTTGATTTCCTCTCTCTCTTTTTTAGTGGATTGTGCCTTTCTCAAGTTTCCTCTTATTCTGGGTTTCTTGGATTCCCATTTTTATCTGCTT